GAACATTGTTACCAAGACATTCTCCAGTCATTACACTACATGCGTTGCACAAATCCTGTAAGATTTGCCTCTGGCTGCACAGCAAATCTTTGCTTCGTCTGCTTCCTGAAGAGGATAATAACTTCAGGAGAAAAAAGAAATCCTTCTTGAAGAATGTCAGGAAATCTCTGGTTTGATATGACCCAGCTGGCTTCTTTCATCACGTGATGTACATGCACTGGCCATGATATGTTATAATAATGCCTCATGCTGATTTCTGTATGTGATGAACGAATATCTGTAAACAGCTAGTGAGAAATGTCTGAGTGTTGGCAGACCAGAAAAGGAAGTCACCTTTGCTTTCTGCAACATGCATAACCCCTGCATGTAATTATTTCTTGCATTGGTCTCTGTGGACAGCAATGAGAATCATCTTGCTTAGCCAACTAAATGGAATGAGAGACAAAGAATATCATCCTGCACAATGACTACTACCCCCCTGAAAGGGGGAGAAATAAATCTTTGTCTTCAGAAGATACCGCTTGAAACTTTGGTATTCCTTGGTATAATTCAACAGTGCCAGTATATACCGCAGGGGACAGAATTTCTGCCTGAAAGCTGTTCACTAAGTCTGCAGGATGTGGGAAACCAATAATGTCTCGGGTTTTTTTGCCGCAAACCAAAGCTGTAAAGAAACCTCTATGCTGTACTAGATATAAAGGTCCTTATCCCTAAGTGTATTTTACATGAAATCATAGTCCAGTACTGGAAGAGGCCCAGCTGCTTGGTTGAATGCCTTCAGACTATCTCTGCCATCTTCCTGATTGAACCTGGCCCTAGACAAGGATGTTCTAAAAGCAGCCGAGTAACTGAGGTCTGTCATCTTTGAAATCAGTCTTTCCTGGAAACACACTGTGACATCCAAAGTATTGTACCATATTCTTTCTGAAATTATGGGCATAAGCGGCATCTTAAATGCATTACTGTCATTTAGAGAAGTGAGAGAATGGCATTAATCAGCAATTTTCATTTGCTGTATTTCTTGTTGGTGTGTCTGAATTAATTTCTAAGACGATCTATTTCCCAGTGAGTAAAACTGTCTCATCTCTTCTATGTTGACTTGTTGCATGATAAAGGATATTGCATTTGTATAGGGCATCTGAAGCCTCTCTTCAAGAGATGACAAAAGACACTGAGCTTAGTTGTTTCCATCTGTCACTTCTGGAGCTGCATCAAAAATGAACCAGGGCTTAAATGACTTCCCTGTATACAAAAGAAAATATTTGTAAAGCAGAGACCTGAAAGTCCAGTTGTTCTTTTACTGAACATCATAGTACGTATGTTAGTTATTAATTTTATACAGCTTTTGACCAATATATTCTAGTGATTTTTAATGTAAAAAAAAAAAGTAATAGGTGTTATTTTTAAAGAATTAAAAGGCATGTTTTCCTCCTTGCTCTGTATCCAAATTGCTGCTGTTGCTCTAAACCACAATTAATGTAGGTTATAGGCAGCCCATACAACCATCTGTTATTTTGCACTACCACAAATCAGTATAGTTTTGCAAATGTGTAGATATCACACGGTTGGCTCCATATGTATGGAAAACTGTATTTTCTTGATTGATTTCATTGCCTTTCAATCACCTATTAAGAGAAGACAACCCAGTACTATAGAGTTAATGTTTTGCATACCACTAGAAACACTTGTAGTGGGTAAGAAACCTTTTCTGCACAAGGGAGCTGGCCTTAGAGCTGCATCCTGCTCACCCTCTGGTACTGAACCTGCCCTGCATTGGACCCCGGACCATGCTGAAGACGTCTGCCTCGTAAGACATTGCAATGGATCCTCTTCTGTCATGGGATGGCTGTAGTGATTTCATTTACAAAGTAGTCTGAGCCTGGAGACCTCCTGTATTTCTGCTTTGATGAAGACACTCTAGTCATAGGTAAGGAAAGCTTCAGAGCAGCATAGAAAGATAACAAAAGGATCTGTGAACTGAGAGAATGGAAATTTGGTAGCTACAACAGAGGCATGAGACATCACAGGACAGAGCAGAACAGAACTGTGATGTTGCCAGAGGAGTGGACAGGTACGTTTGTCTTTTGTGTCTTTTGCTTCTTTCTGACACGGTCCATCTTGTTTACTGTGTGTATTGATGTCTGTTGGTTATGGAAAGGTAAAACAAAAAGCAGCATATCCCAGTTCACACAGTGGTAACAGGGATGTGCTACTGCTTTTTGTAAGTGCAGTGGGATAGCTAGAGACTGTCCAACCCAAAGACCAGGGAACAAAGACTTGTTTAGTCTGTGAAGATTATTCTTTGCGGAAATATCAGTGTACATTCCTGTACTTACTGAAGCAGTGTTCTTTGCAGAGCTCTACAATGCACTACAGCCTGAAAAACAAGGTGTTCAAGTTCAGGTCTAGGCTTCTTGCTTGCTGTAATAGAGTATGCCACAGAGAAGCAGGAACTACACAGATGATCATCTGTGTAGGATCTGCCTTATGGCAGTGCAGAATAGGGTTTTTTCACTCCTCCTAACCATTGATCTTTGTTAGAGAGACAGAAAGTGTGCTGGGATTGTTTTCATCAGCTTTTGTTTGTTCCTGGGAACAACAAAAGGGAACTGTTGGGAGCTGTATTCAGTGTTGGCAGTGAAGATCCCACTTTTTCTTTCCCATTGTCTTCCCCAATTTGCCAGAGCATATAGAGAACTGCCCTCTGCCTTCTCACACAAGTGTCCTGAAATGTTTTGGTAAGCCTGCACCCAGGAGCGTATTCAATCTGTTATTAACCCCATGTAGATAGTATAGTTTGTTGCTGAGTTATAGCTAAAACAGCCCTAGAAAAGCTATTTTAATTGTAAGAAAATGAATTCAGATCCTGTCTCACAAATCTAATTCTCAAACGTTGCTAGGGAAACAGAAGGGTGGACAGAGAAGCAGTAACTGAAATGTGTCTCTCTGACTTCAAGGATTACTGTACCCATGAGATTACCTGTGTCCTTACTGGTTGGACACCCCAAGACTCTTCTCCCCTGATTATCCATTGCCATTTTGCCTCCTTTCCAAGGAGACAAATGGCTTGGTCCTTCTGCCACCCCTCCCTGCCACTGAGGAGCAGCAGTGAACAAGGGCTAGTAAGACAGACCCACCTCAAGGGGCTTGCCAGGGTTAATCCGTGGGTGGTTCTGATGTGCTCCAAGTGCCACGTAGGACTCGTGAGCTGTGCAAGTGTTCTAGCTCAGCTCTTTGCCGCTCCCCCTCCTTGGTTTGTTTTTTTTTTTTCTCCCCCTTTAATAGCGAGGAAGCCCTTCAATTGGATGGGCAGCAGAGCCAGCCCAGGGCTCAGGAGGAACAATGACCAAAGAACAGACTGCAGCTTGGAAACCAAAACCTCCCCAGGGGCTGCTGCTGCTAAAAGGAGATTAGAGAGAATTCCTAGGCCAATTGGCATCTGGATTTCCCCCCACTCCCCTGTTGTAGCCACTAAATTTCTGGCCTATCGGCATGGTAGTGTAGTCATTTATTTGCTCCCTTCTTGGGCAGGCGGCGGGGAAGCATGGGCACAGAGAGCTGTACAGGGCATAGTAATACAGTAGTGCTGCAGGACCGATCAGAGCTGCACCTTTCATCATCACACCTATGAGAGGTCAATGACCCCCAGAGAGATGAAAGGGATAAAGCTAAGTGTTGAGGAGTGCCTCTATCAGAGCACGAGTGCCCCAGCCAAAATGTCACATGGGTTGCCAGGCTCCCTCCACCCACCCACCCTTGCTAACCTCTAGCCAGCTGGTGATGGTGCAGGGAGGGTTGTTTACAGTTTATTAAGATGTTTGAGATTACATGTTACGGCAGCCTCACATGAGGTATATGGAAGCAGCCACTATTGTGAAGGGCTTGACAGAAGAGCTGAATTCTGAGCTGACCATGGAGAGCCCTGGACACAAGCGATTAACCAGCTAGGTGTCATTTTACACTCAGTTGCTGGGGACCAGGAATTGGGAGGGGACAGGGAGGAACCTCTGTGGTCTCTAGAACATGACTTTAAGTGGTTGTGGTTTAGAGAGTCAGCGAGGCAGCCTCTGAGTCTCATGTGGCATGCAAGCACTGGAGATTTTTACCTTTGGGAGTATCTATGGCTAAAAAAGCCCATACTTTTAAAAAAAGAGTAGATTGATTTCTTGCCTGGGCAACATCTGTGAGCTTTTTATGAGCATCTGCAATGTTCATGGTAAATTCGAAGGAGGGGTGTGTTATCTACCTGTGTGTATAAGTCTGTACTGGCAGATCATGTATATTCAAATGGACACAGGACATTTGTCAGCTGTGGGAACTGCACTGCCTTGGTTATTTAAACGGCATTGTTGGAAGTGTTTTATGTTTGAGGGGAGCTTTATATGAATCTATCCAAAGCAGATGCCAGAGGTGATGTACATGTCTGAAGGCCTAGGGCAGGACAGGGCACATATACACCAGGCACAGTTTGAGGGTACCAAGGAATTTCCAATCTGAGGCTCCCTGGCTGACCTAAATTCTGTCTGTTCCTTTGAAGAGACATTTTGGAAAGGGGAAAGATTTGAGAGTGGCCGAGTATGCCACAGCAGAAGCAGTTTAAGAACAGCAAACCATCTAACCCTCCAACAAACAACTTGCTTGTGAAAAAAAGAGCATCTCCCCTCAAAGTATTTATTTTTTACAATGCTTTTGAGATTACTATTTTTTAAGTCTTGGCAGGTGAGGCCTGGGCCACGTTCATCGTGCAGAACAGATGCAGAACACCCCAAAGCACCTCACAAACCACAACAGACAAGAAGTCCTCAGGGTGTATCAGCTCACGAATGAATGGGCCCAATATTCAGGTACCCACAGATATTGCTCCTGTCCTGACCCACAAACCACCTCTCAGAAACTCCAGGAAGGGAAAAGAGCTGAATGGAGACATCAGTCCCTCTGAAAATGGACTCAGCATGCTCTTTCCTTGTATTTGCCCACCCTCAGCAGGCTGGCTGGGAGCCTTGCAGTTTGCATTTAGAAACCAATAGCCAGGATCTGCCAACTGAACTTAAAGGTTTGGCAGACATAGAGTTTCAGTTGCACGACTCCTGGATCACAGCTCTGAGGAACAAAAGTCTAAGTATATCTCTGAGCATTTGTTCTCTCAGCAGCTTCCCTTCTTGGTGCATTTTCTTTCTCTAAAGAAAATTTCAAGGTTTCCTCTTACAGAGGAAACCTTTAATTCTTCAGGCCAGTGGGGAGGGCTGAGGCCCTAGGATAGCTAAAGCTAGAATAGAAAACATCACCCCATTTCCATTCCCCCTTTCACCTGCTCTTTCTCATTCCCTCGCTTTCCCAGCTCAACCACCCAGCATTCAAATACACAGCAGTTCCTCCAGCCTGTCCTTCTCTTCCGCACCAACTGTCCAGCCATTTTGGAGAGTGTGGCCTTCGTATCACCAGAGTAACTCCCAGAAGGAACACGACACTGCCAACAAGACCAAGAAATGTTCCAGAAGAGATCCGCAAGGGCTGCCAGACCCTAAGCCGCAGGGTTTGGCACTCGGCCCTCAGCATACATAGTCTCTGACCCCCAGTTCCTTTTTTGTTAGCCTGGGAGCGGGAGAGTGGGTGCTGACAGTTTCTCTCTTGGCTTTGGGCGGGCCAGGGTGCCTTTCAGCTGCACTTGCAGGATTTCACCACCATGTTGGAGAGCTGCTCCACTTTGGGGGTCCTCCCGACATAGTACAAGATAGTGAGTGGCTCCAGGTCCTGGGGGACACAGCAGGGCGAAGCGGATGCCTCAGGGTTCAGCGTGTTGTATAAGCCCAGCACCTGCAGAAACAAAGTAAATGTGGTGACAATGTCAGGAATACATTCAACTTGGCTGAGGACAGGAAGGGACTGCAAAGCCAACAGGTCTCTAGGTGTTTGGACTATGCTCATCAGAGGGTATTTCCCTGAGGTGAGTAATACTCCCCTGTCACTTCCTGATCATGGCCTGCTTCTAAAGGGTCTCACCTGCCCCAGCCTGACTCTTAAGACTTTTTTTTTTTAATTGCAGTAGCCTTGCTCTGTGGCTGATGCCTAAGAGTTGAAGGGGTGCAAGTAGTTGTCTCCTTTCATCTCTAATTTGGTATGCTGGATAGTGTCACAATTTTTGCTTTTAACAAGGCTGGGTGTAACCAGGCTGGGGCTGAGTTGTCTTGGTTTCCATTAAAGAAACCAGAAGAAAGAACATCTTTGCTGCTTATTTCAACCAGCATCTCTAGATAGCACTGGATGGATGCCAATCCTCTTGAGCATCCACCGTTCCCTCCCAGCTTTGAACTGTCGGATGCTTCCTCCCTCCACTCCACCCTCCAAGTCATTACACTATAATGCTGGAGCCAGGAGAGTGTCCTGTGGGACCCCACTGGATTCCTCCTCCGAGCTGGCCCCAGCCCACAGATGACTGTACGCTTCAGCCATGTAACCGCTACAGAACAGTTGCCACGTTTCTTGCCAGAGGTGGCCACTTCTCAGTGGTAAGCAATTTCTTGAGTTGTGGGGCCAAAACATGATCTCACCTGCACTACTGTGGTCTCATTAGCTCTTGTCTGGTATAAACGACAGGATCTGGCACATTGTCTTTTAACTACTTTACAGTAAGTCTTTGGGGATGAGAGGTGCTAAGGAAACATCCTGTTGTATCATCCAGATCCATGTAATCACAGTCATTCTGGTAGAAGCTCTCTGGGGTACTGAGCAAAGTACCCCTGGCTGTACCACAGAGGTACCGCATGCCCTGGGGCCGCTCTACTCGACAGAGACAGTAGGTTAAACAGACTGGTAAGAAATCTTCTTTTCACCATGTTTTTCCTAGGTGGTGCTGGCAAGCTGTCAGCAGCTATATTGTTCTAAAGTTTTCTCGGATCACTCAGCTGACCTCAATGCTTGATCGTTTCCTTTCTTGCTCAAGAAAAGAATGTTAGGAACCATTCTGAAATCTCCTTTCTCTCACACTGATTCAGTCCAGTTATCTCCTAGAGAGCTTCTCGGGACAACCAGATGGTGAAGCTACATGCCCATGACCCTTTCAAAGCTGTTCATTCCCTTGCCTTGTCTTGCGCTTAATGCCCAGCATCTGTTCACTCCTTCATTCCCATAGATTGACTGTTCCCGCTGATATTAGTCCTTGAGCTTCAGTGAGCCTTGCTGCTGTGCAGACTCTCAAGCTGCCAAGAAAATGTTAGCATCTTTTCTGCAATATCATCTTTACCTAGTTATCTACTCTTCAGCCAAATCTGCTTTTTCCAGTAACTTTTTTAGTGAAACCTGAAGCTAAGTTGTTAGTGAGCTGTTGCATTGTCTGGATTGCCGCCTTTTCTGTGGATGGAAGCACAGGGTTTTCCTCTGGCTTTTCTTGCTTCAGCAATGGACTGCCTGCTCCTTAGTCTGTCTTCTCCCCTTGGTACTTCTCCTGTGCCTGTGCTTTTCTGTTGCTTTTATTTTTTTCCACTCCAGACAGTAACGAAGCTCAGATGGTATTTTTCCCAAAGCCTGTCTGCTGTACTCATGTTAAGCAGATGTTATGCGCAAGTTACCTAAAGACATTTGCTTTCTGCCAGTTTTTACTCATGAATCTCACTGCCTAGTAGGTTCCTCCCTGCCATAGGTCAAGTGGGATTTATACAGGTGGAAAGGATGCCTGTGCAGAAAGGAGAGCTTACTGCATGGCTGTGTTCACTTCTGGACATGGACACAGATTTCCCTTCACTTCTGGGCTACAGCTGCCTCTGTGGTAGCAGACAGCAGCTGCGTGCCACAGCACAACAGTTTTGCATGACAACCTGGCACAGAGCGTAGAAAAATCCTCTGTCCAGTGCAAACTGCAAGAGAAATTTAGGCAGAAGATAATTACCAGAGTTGACATTTGATGTGAACAATTCAGTTAATACTCTGGCCATTACCAAATAAGTACCCTAAAACCATCAGTCCTGCTGTTTCACATCTTATCCAAGACACAGCATCCTTCTCCTCCTCAACATTTGGCTGGAAGCATGGACTCAGTATTGACTCCAAAGGAAGCACATTTTCCCTGCTGATCCACCTAGACTTTTTTCTGCAGTCTCCTTGGACAGTTTTTACAAGTACTGATCTGAACTGCTTTTGCTGCTTTGAAGAGACCAGGTACAATCAAGACTTAGGGAGGAAGGGGGAGTCACAGCCACCAATAATACGCTGGATGTACCGTGCTGTGAGTGGTGTCTGCGCTGCGGAGGTATGGACAAGGCCCCGAACAAAAGTTAGCAAAGTAGCCCTTAGGCTCATGGACCCATTTCCAGCCCAGGTCCTGTCGGAAGTCGATGTACAGAGGACGCACACAGCAGTTCTCCTCCAGGTTCCTGAAACACAGTATCAAAACACAGTGAATCTAAAGGGGGGCCTTGTATGCGAGTGCGTGATGCAGCTTCCTGAGCAGAAGGACTAGTACCAGCAGTTCCTAGCGGGACATGGTGTCTGCCTGTGCCAAGTGCAGAGGAGCATCAGAGGCAAGCAGTGGCGGGCAGCTCAGCAGCCTGGCACTGCTCGTGCCTGCCGGCAGGCGGCTTGGCTGCTGGCCCAGGGACGCGGCACCCCGCTCACCCACAGCAGCACCCGGCTGCTCTCCAGCACCTGGAGCTAGCAGGGGTCTGCCACAGTTCCCTGCCCAGGCTGTGCTCCAGGAAGCCACTTGCAAGTCTCCCTCTAGCCATCAGCTCAGCCAAAAGCACACAGTGACTCTGTTGACCTGGCCAGCATCCCCTTCTTGGGCACCACGAGGAGCAGCTGGCTGAGCTGTACTCTTCATGTGGCCTCTCTGGCACCGCAGTGACCCACAACCCCCTTGGAGGGCTCTGCCTTTCCTGGTGGCATGGAGTCTCGCCAGGTTTGCCCACCTCAGGCATGGCACCTGGTCGCTCCAGGCAGGATTCTCACTTACCGGAAACAGTAGTTGGTATCCAGGGCCCGTTTCTTTCTTTGGCCTCCCAACGCTGGGCTCTCCAGCCGATGTGGGGGTAACATCATCAAGATGAGGTGGGGATTATGCAAGTCCTTCTGCTTCTTCAGGCGCCCCAAGTCCCCACGGCCGTAGTCATCCTCACTGTCAATGCCTTCAGAGAAAAACAGGATCCACAAAGAAGTATTCAGTGTGGAAGTGTAGGACACAACAAGACTTTTCAGTGCATTTAACACTCTCATGCCTGCCCCTGAACCAGGGTGAAAAGGATTCAGGCACCACGTCCACTTACTCTGGGACTTCTTCCCTGACAGGGACCCCTTTACTCCTGGTGAATCTGACTGCTGCAGGCCTGAAATAGAGGCTTACGGGCCACCTGTTTTACCATTTGCAAACTGCTGGTGGGGCCATTAATCCATCCCACTCACTCCTGGCTTCAGTCCCAGGACAGGCAGGAAGATGAATGGTTTAAAGATGTCAGATCATTGGCACTCTGCAGAACAGCCTCAGAAATGGAGCCTGTGGGGGCCAGTGGCTGCAGCCCAGGGCTGCAAGCCAGGAGGTTCCTAGTTCTTAGGCCAGCCAAGCCACTGACTCTCTGGGCCACCTCACACACGATGCCTGATTTCCTTGTGTTTCAGTCACCCTAACTGGAAAGCGGAGCCTCCGTGGAAATCCGAGAAGGCATCAAGCTGAACTTCCCAGACAGACACTGAAATACAAAATTATTCCTTTCTGAAGACACTCGTGCAAACCCACCCAGCCTGCACTTCCTTTCTCCCTTTTCTAACCTACGTACAAAGTGGATATACCCATATAATCAATGTGCAAACCCAGATGTACATGCTTTAAGACAAATGTTATGCAACATAAAATGCTCAAATATGCAAAGCAAGACCTTGCTTTTTCTTTAGATACTCCAGGCTTTCCCTTCCCCAACAGCTTCCCCTAACGCAGCTCTTTATCACCTTTGAACTTGATCTCCAAGACCTCGTGCAAATTCTCCAAGATGTCTCCGTTGGGCTGAAAAGTATGGCAAGGACAGTGTATACTAATTTCCAGGCCAAGGTTGGACTCTGCAAAGAAGGAGATGACTCTGTGAGAAACAGTCTTCCTCAGCTGGGACAGCTCCCGGTGCAAGGAAGTTTCACTGAGAACATGTACTTTGGTAACTCCTAGACTGTGGGTCAGTCTCAAAGTCAGGGATGCTATCAGAGTTGGGGAACAGAAGCTGCCTTGGAAAGGAGAATGGGAAGCAGGATCTTGCAGCTTCACCTGTGCCAATAGCCTTGCTCATGCTAAAGGGAGCTTTCTGGGCAGGTGAGAAGGGTGCTCCTGGTTACGGTTTTTACGCTATTCAGCATCCAAACGTATTCGTGAGCTTCAAGGAGCTCCACTGGAAAACAAGGATTTTGAAGAGCTGGTTTGCAGTGTCTGTATTAAATCAGTTTTGCCATCCTCAGTACCTGTCTATTATCTGGCTTCTGGTTAGTCTCTGGAGGAGAGATCTGAAAATGAGCGAGTTGGATATAGACAAGTAATTTCACTGGAAGCATTTTTCTCAGCAGCTGCAACCTCCTGTTTTGTTGAACTGCTAGCGGTCTAAGTCACACAGACTTTCCAGAGGCAAGTCTATTTTCATAATAACTTCCTGGACCAGTCGTGCTGTGTGGGCCTGACTAAGAGAACATAAGCCTCTTATGAAAGCTCCTTTTTAATGTTGTGTCATGAATTAAAACATCTGGCTCCCCAGGGCATTGACAAGGTGCCTAGCACCTTTTTTCCTAAGCACTCTGTGATGTCTTGTCAGCTAGTGTGCCTGCTCAGAGCTCGCTGCAGTTCCAGCCCTGAACTCCAGCCATCAGGACACAACTTAGATCGCTTGAAAAAGGAGGAGCCTACAAGCTCACAGCTTACCCTTCCAGGGAGCGGCTGCTCGCCAGTACCTGCATTCCAATTTTCAGTGGCACCTAGCTTCTATCTGTGAGGCCAACCCAGCTGTGAGTCACGGTGCCTATGCTCCAGCTGTGAATGGGGTCAGTGTTCTTGCTGGGAGCTGCCCCATAACTATCTGTTGGGCTGCCCAGTGGTGGCAGAGGTATGTTCTCTGCAGTGCTAAAGCCTCCATCTGTCTAGGTGTGTCAGCCTCTGGTATTTCCTCACCTTTATACCTGCCAAGCTGTAAACAGCTGAAGAAACCAGGATCCTTGCTGGTTTTTCCCTACTAGATTTGCTCTAGTCCACGTGAAAATTAAACCAGAGCAATCCTCATTTTCTATGTGTTACAGATTATAGTTTAGACAAGCAGAGGGGACCCCTGCTTAGACTTGAAGAACTAAAAGAAGTTCCAGCATCTCTCAGTGAAAACAATTTCTTCCTCCAGAGGATGAATCCTCATTCTGACTCAGCCCACAGAGCTACACAGTGGGGACTCCAGGACAGAGCTAAGAATCTAGCCAACGTCACGCACTGAGGTAGCTCTCTGGGGGAAGGCTTGTTCTCAGACTGAAAGAAGCTGTCCTCTATGTGAGCCAAGTTCCTGCTAAAAGCGGAGCAGAGAGATACTCCTGTCAACATTGATCCACATTTCTATGGATGCCTTGACACCCCGTCCAGCTAAGACCCCTACCTCTGTGCAGAAGCCACTCACGCACAGTCTCGGTGACATCGAAGGACAGCCACTCAGGGGAGCCCCGTGTCTGCACATTCCTGCCACTGAGGTAGCGCTGCTTTGCTATGTGCTCATCCGGCTGAAGGATCTGCGTCAGAAGGAGTGGTAGAGAGAATCAGCCAGTGCCGCGCATAAGGAAGAGATAACCTTGGGTCTTTTTTCTTCCACAGTTCACCAAAAACTAATTCATAAGGTTGGTCTTGGCAAGCGAGACACCAGGCATACCCTGGCGCAGGTGAGAAGGACGTGCTTCTCAACCAACTTGAACTCCAGAGATCTACACAATGCTTAGTTCTGTGTCCTAAGCAGCCCACCTCTCTCAATTCATCCTTGTTTCAGGGCACGTATCCAGAGGCAGAAGCACACAGCAACTGATCTAATCGGTGGTTTTGTTTCTGTATACACCTGTGGGATGTGGGACTGGATTTCAGAGTAGAACCAGCAGTGGGCAATAGAGCATCTTGCGACAGGTCCCTTGCCCAGCAAGCCTATTGAGTCCTACACTGTGGCATTTTCATGTGTCCTACACTCTTCAACTTCTATCAAAACACAGCAGGGCTGATCAGGTTTGGAGACCTCTCCCCCTGCTCTGACATCTCTTCCTGCTTCCAGACAGCCAGCCACAGCCTGTGCAAGGTGTTCCTTCCTGCAGGACCCCAGCTTCATTCCACAGAGCACTGAACCTATGGAGAAGCTCTGGGATTGCCTCCTTGTCAGTTGTGTCACCTGGTAGAGAATTGCTCTGACCTTTGAAGCTGAATTCCAGGAAGTCCTCAAGAGCCACCAGCCACAGGGCAATTTTAGCAGCACTCTTACTGCAACGTGGACAGACACCAGTCTGTGGGAATGTCCCACCTGGATGCTAAAAGTGTACCATTAGCTGGGTGGTCCAGCCCAGCCTAAGACCACGTCCAAGCCTGAACCAGACCTTATTCTGCCAGGGGAGTCAAACCAAACTCCAGATAAGTACCTGAATTAATGGTGCCATGAACTGTGCCCCTCAGGAGCTGCTGCTGAAGGGAACATTGAAAGCAAGCGTTATTTTTCCAGTAAATCAGTGACAAGACAGAGCGCTCCACCCATTGGATTAGCACCAACTGTACTGCGACAGTCAAAGGAACAGAACTGCCAAGGGACCTAGGCATGGGACAGAAGGGTCAGGGCTGCTCCACTGGTGAGGGGCTCCCCTTCCAACCCCCTTCTGAGTGCAGCAAAGAGCTGCAGTGGGCACCAGCCCAGGGTGCCCAGAGCAGCCAGCCAATGTGAGCGGGGAAGGGACAGCACCACGCCGTAAAAGGAAAGAAAGGTGACTGTATCACTGCGTATGCTGGAAGAACCCTGGAGTACAGCATGGGATTTTGTCTCTCTCTCTTTTGTGGCCCTGCACATATCAACCGAGTCAACCATTAAGAAGCCAAGCTATTCTGGGCTCAGGCACAGGGGAAGGTGAGAAGGATACTCACCTGGAAAAGCTCAATGCGCTGCTCGCTGCGTTTGGAGCTCAGGTTGGGCACACGCAGCACCCGAAACTCGGCCCGGAATAAGTTGGTACTGTTCTTCTCTGCCGAGGACACATTAAAGCGGAACACGTTGGAGGTGACACCTTTTGGACAAATGCCCAACTCATCTAGGAGAAAGAAAGATGGAAAGACAGAACCACAGGTCAGAGGGGCGGGATCGCAAATAAATATTGTTTGAGAAAGAGCTTTCCAGCAGAAGCCTGTCATTCAAACATCTTGCCACCTGTGAAGCATGGCTGTCTAGCTAGAGATAACACAGGATGAATTCACTCAAATTTGCTCTACATTGCAACATTTTGCAAAATCTTTCCACTACTGCCACCATTATTTCAATGCTACAAGCCAGAGAATCAACCACGGATATCAACCATGATATTTTTAATATTATCTCTTCTAATCCTGCTCATCAAATGTTGCTGATGCTCATCAGTCTGCTGCATCCAAAATGACAACCCCAGCCAAGGCAGCGGGGCAGCCTCATTTGCAGCTAGTGGGGCCCATTTCCAATAGTGATGATGGTGTGAATCTGCTCATACTGCTGACATGAAGCCACGTAGGAGGTGATCCCATTGCCGTTGAATCTTAGTTTTACAAACCTTGACGTTGTCTCCTAGAATGAAAGCCAGCCAAGTGTCCACAAAGCATGAGGTGTGGAAGACTTTTTGGGGCAGTGACTATTCAGTGTGTACTGAAAGAACTGGGTTTTACCATCAGTTCTCACTCGTGACCCAGAGAAGGAATTCATTAATAGTACTAGATACAGAGTTCTCCAGGGACAGAGTAATAGTGCTGAGAGGCCTGCGGAGATCAGACATATGGGCAGGAAATAACACAGCAATTCTCTGCCTCGATGTGTACCTGTAGAGCAAAAAATCCATTTCACAGATGCCCCAAAAGAGAGTAGGTAAAAGCTATGAGGTCCAAAACAGTGCCCTCAAGAGAAAACAAGCCTTTCTTCATTGGGACCACTTTGGTCCCATGGAAAAGTCTTTGTAGTTGCTGTTGTTCCTCTCCTATTGACCTCTGTTAGCCTTCAAGGCTCTAGCTTCATTAAGGCTTCCTGCAGACAAGCCGCAGCAGCTGCTGCTCCATGCACACATGCAGGTTTGTTTGCAGCCCTACAGAGCCTCTCATATGACTTCTGACTGTTGTCCAGTGCAACACGGGGCTCTCATGTCAGCTGATATTTAAGTTGGTTTTAAATAAAAAAAGAAACAGAAAGAAAAACTATTGCCCGTTCCCAGCCACAGTTCCAGCCTGTGACAAACAGGCTAGAAGCCCTAGTTGAAGCAAGCTTCAAATTAGATTCCTGGAGTTGGCCCATCTCCACAACACCACTACTATCCCCCCAGAGAAACAGCTTCTGAAGATGGGCTAGTGTGAAACGGCACCTGAGCACAGAGGTTCACCTCCCATGCCAAATTCTGCTTTGAGCAACCCTGATGCACTTCCAGAGTCATCTCCATGAAGATGAAGGTCTTCCTCTTGTGCTACACCCAGATTCAGCAAGAAGGAGCCTGCCAGTTTACAAGGATGTGTTCTTAGGGTGCTGGAGTTCTATTCAATAAGCTAATGACCAGATGCTCACATTGGGCTTTCATTGGAGGGTTTTTTCTGTCATTTGTACTACTGAATGGAACAGCTTTCCCATACAGAAAAGTCTCTGGCTGCTATTGAAGAGCTGGATGTTTGGTAATCCCAGACCAGACCCCACTGCAGCCACGAGCTGCTATGCTCAGCCCAAAAACCCTGCAGTGCAGAGAGTACACTGAGCCACACGAGGACACCCACGGTGGGGACTCCAGCACTGTGACCAGTTCTAGGTTTTATGCCACAAGAAAAGCACAGCAGAAAACCCAAGCTCTGATCTCATTAAATGCCCAAAAGCATCTTCCTGGCTGAAGTCTAACACCGATAACTGTTCTGTGTCCTACACCTAGGCAGATACTGTGTTTTAATAACCCCTCAAGCTGTTTTGCACCCCTAGCCCTATTAGTAGTGCTGTTAACAGCCTGCCCTTCCATTTCAGACCTGACTGCCTGTCCACGAGGGGGATCCCAGTAATCATCAGAAATGCCTGTCTAGATCAGACCAGTGGTCAGTCTAGATCTGACAATCTATTTAGAGACCGCAGATCTGGCCCTACAGCACAGTGCAGATGAGAGACAAAATAATTTATTGTTTATCATCTCCTTAAGATTTTTCGCTAAGTTAGGCAGCCATGCTGGTAAGAGATTACTGTATCTGCTGTATTTTGCCTGCTGTCCTCACATTGCCTTCTACCTACTTACTTCACCAGCAAGGTGCTGGTGTCTTGGGAGGCGTTCCTAGTGGAAATAGTAATAGCTATCTTCCTTTCCCTAAGAAGGTTCATGTTCCCCTCGTACCCTGGGAACAAGCCCTCTGTGATGGGGAGACGGAGCTGCATTCTGTGTTTCACGCTGAACACTGTGAGGTTGGAGCCTGCTTCTCACAGCAGGGCGTCCAGGATACAGGTCTCACTCCCAGGAAGCTGACTGCTTTGGGGCAAAGCACTTTTTGCAAGAGGTCACAGGCAAAGGAGACAAGGTGATTTTTCAGGGAACTTGGTCCAGTCCCAGCTCAGGTGTGCTAATCACACTGGAATCTGGTCGTGCCAACCTACCAGCACGGAACAAAGCCTGGAGGCAATATTCCTGCAAGCTCTTCCAGTCCACAATACTCGGAGGCTGTAACCAAGCATGGAGACAGGGAATCTGTGACACCCTGTGCACTCATGCCAGTGTATGTCTGACATGACATGATGTATCCTCACGATCAGACCCTGCTATTGCTGTGGAGCCCAGAGAGCCCAGAGCTGTTGGCTGCACAACCCATGAGACCAGTAGCCTCTTAGCACGGACAATGTGATACAGGGAGCAGGTTCTTTTGGGAGCTTCCCTCTTCCTACCAGTGCTCTCAGCGAGGTGCAGGTTCTCCATGCGCTGCTGATCCTACACAGCTGCTGTTCTGGCAAGCCCCAAGAAGGCTGATGGCTGTGCGGTTGGAGTTTGATGTCAAGGAAAGGCAGGCTGTCTGTAAGCAGGTATTGCCTCACTCCATATTATACCATTGGTACTTCAAAGTGTTTCATGCCAAAGCTGCATAACTTCGGAAAAAAAAAATTATCCTTCTGGAACTCTGCAGGCGGCAGGTTTGGAGGGAAGAGATGCTTGGCCCCAGCGACCCGTGACTTTTTGCCTTGTCTCTCAAGCTGGCTTGGACAATGGCATCTGTTTTTCTTCAGGAAGATAAGCAAAGCCATTTGCAGGACCATTGCAGATGCTCTCTGAGCTTGAATCTAACCAAGTCAGTACTTAAGGGAGTCTGAACCCCCATGAGTTTTAGGAAATCCCTGAAATGAATGGCTGGTCAAAAGTGAGTTATTCTCTGAAAGAAAGTCCCTTATAACGCAGGCAATGTGCCTGAGAGGCACAGCAGAAAGACTACTCCGTGAGTCACCAGACAGCTCAGAGTAGGGATGGGGAATCTGGTCCTGAATATCCTCCCTTCCTAGAAGGATGCGGCTCTCCCCGCTGCTATTTTTGCTCCTCACCTCTCCTCGCTTTTGGGCCTTAATTCTTTGAGAAGGATGAGTTGTCTGAGCCAATGAGCCACTTGACTAATAGTTTGGAGCTAGAATAGTTCGTGTGCATGGGAGTGTGCGTGTGCCCGCATTTCAGACTTGTCTGTATCATCCTCGCGGTTCCCTGAATGGAGCAGTCCTCCCCTTCCCCCCCGGAGGAGACTGGCTTTGGCTCAGAGCATGCTCTGAGATCACCACCTGGCACAGCGACAGAGTCATGGGAAAGTTGAATATCAGCCATTGCTGAAGACACGGGGCCAAATTCAACCATGGTGTAAGCGACGAAACTCCCCAGGTTTCAAAAAGGAGTGCGTCTCTTGACACCACGGCCTGTCCGGAGCCAGTCTCTCCCAGCGTGACCCAGTTCCAAAGTTCCCTCTTTCTCTGGGTGGTGGCATCTACACTGCCCACTCCCAGCAATTCAGTCTCAGCACTACTTGGTCTTTTGCACCCGCTGCTCAGCACCTTGCCCCAGTGTCCTATGGGGACATGGGACAGGTTCATTCATTTCCATAGGAATTTTCCCCAACCCACAGTCCCTCCTCACTGCTCCTTCTCGTGCACCACATCTTCATTCCTCTTTCCCCTCTACTTTATCCAAATCTACTCCTCTGACTTCATTTCCCGCTGTTGTGCTTTCCCAGTTTCCTTCCCCAAAACACACCGGTTCATAGTGTGGCTGTACTATTTTGCACAGACACTTGGTTTCCCCATATATTTTTAGAATTTCACAAATGACACTTCAGTAGGTCAAAAATGTTGAAATATGGGTAAGCTGCTGTACCCTGTGCACTTTCTGTTCCTCGAGTCTTGGTGTCTCTGGAGCTAAGAGCTAATCATATAACCATATGGAGTGCAGTCTGCTAGAGATTAAGTGAAATTTGTTGCATTACCACATTGTAGCTCTTATTCCAGCTCATCATATGTCAAGATTAACATAAACCTGGCAAGAGTAACTGCATTCTGAGGCTGCCTGCAGCAAGTCACAGCTCCTCCCCAGAACTGCTGGCGTTCAAATCGTGTCCCCAAGACTGCACTACATCACAGGAGGACACCCTGGATGGTGGTATGACTGCATGCCCACCAACATCTTCCAGTCCTCAGCACAGACCGAAAGGATTGCTTGTGCCTACATGTGCTCAGCATCTGCAATCTGCTCGGGGTTCATGCCTGCTCCGTCTCTGTCTTTGCATCTGCATCTGCTCAGCTTCTGCACCTGAATCTGTTTAGTGTCCGCATCTGGGCCTGCTCTTTATCCTGCTCCGCACCTGCTCAACATCTGTCATGTTTCCTCAATGCCTATGTTCCCTTGGGTGTCCCCTTCGCATCACTTCTGCTTTGCACCTGCTCGGCATCCCTGTTATCTTCTACTTGCTCTCTGAACCCTCACGCTATCCGAGTAACACCCTCGACAGCGTCCTCCAGGCAGCAGTCTCTTCAGCAAGCGCCTCTCCACCTTCTCTACAGCCAGTGCGGGTGCTGCACACACCAAACAGGTTGCCTCGATCTCTGCGGCAGCCGCTGGAGCTTCAGCAGGGGGGGTCCGTCCGCCTGCTCGTCACCCAGACACCAGACCCGCGCCGTCCCCCAGCCCGCTGCGCAGCGCTCGCCCCCAGACACAAGCTGCCTGCTCTCCCGCTGCCTTCCCGCCGCCCCCCCGCTGCCAGGGCCCCGGCCCCGGGCTCGGCTCG